AGCTAAAGCCACTGACATTAATCAAGTGATAGCTGCTTTAAAAAGGGACCTTGAACTGGCCAGTAACTGCATAAACGCTTTCAACATGACATAGAGAGCAATGCTAAATGCCACATTGAAGAGGACTCACTGAGAATACCAGATCCTTAAATCTCACAATGAGATAGACAATAAGGTTCTCCAGTATCTGGCTTTAAGTGGTCATGATATGTAGTAGCTGCAATTAGAGCTGGTCTTTCATGATAGATAAGAAAAATGCTGATGTACCTTGACTGACACCTGGCAATTTCCAATGTGCTTTTGAAGTTGTGACTTAACAATCACACACCATACTTATGGTAAGATTCTGCTGGTTCATTAGATAAAATGCAACATAGCATTCATTATCTAAGTCAAACAATACTTACTGTAATTCATGTAATTCTACATCTTCTTCGTCAATGTCACATTGCAGTAGTCTAATATAATGCTTTCCTTGACCAAATATAACTATTAAATATGGGACAGTTAATCAGTCATGCCACTTTCAGTCCTTCTATTTCAACAAAACTTTTTGGCCCTCTGCCAAGCTGTAGGTGTGTATATTTGCCGCATTTTCCAAGACAAGAAAAGCAGTGAATAGCACTATGTATTCATGATGATTTCTGGAAGCAAAAAAATCATATTGGTTTGATTTGATTTGCCATTTCTTCTTTTTATATCACTATTTTGATACAACATCTGAAGTTTCTCCTCATTAGATAAGATCCCATTTTTTGTGTGTTGTTTGCATTGCAACATAGTTCAGTAAGTATTTTGAGGTTTATCAGCCAATGCTGCATCATGTAATGGGCAATGAATGCTAATGTTGTGTCCATTAATAGCTTTCTATCAAATGTTGAGAACTTCACAAGTTTCTCCAGTGTCCTATGAATGACAGGGAATACTGCAGTATAGCCATTCTAATATCCCTGGTGCTTTGTTGAATTGTTGTTCCTACATGTAGCTTCAATATGATAAATTGTTTCACCATTGCCAGCAAATCCAATTTAAGTCCACTTAAATTGATCATTAAGGGGCTTATAGTGATGACTTTCTACACAGCATCCAAACCCTTCTGCTCCTCTGCAGCAAAGGGCACTGGACTACTTTTTCTTCTGAACTAAAATAAGCATGAAATGCAAAAGATGTCAACTACTATGTGCCAATTGAACAGCACTCCGAAAGCCAAAAACCACCAACTTACACAGGTAACGAGGCATGTCAGAACCAATTACACTTGGAATTTTATATGTAATTGTTTGATATTCCATTGCACTGCTCCTTTTTTGTTCTTCTGTTGTGAATATCTTCTTAGAAAAGTAGTGCCCCACAAGGTACATCTTCAATATTTTTAATGGTGATCAATGTAGTTGAAACTCCTGTGCCCTCCAAAGTGTGCCTCAATTTTATTTTCTAATGAAAGAGTAATTTGACTCATTAATTGATCATCTTGAAGCTTTTAAAGCTTCTCATATTCAGCCTTCAGATTTTCATATTTTGTCGTTATACTGTGTCTATTTTTAATTATAACATCTTTTGAATGTCACTCATGGCCAAATGAGCTAAAATATGATAATCTTCAGCCTTTTTGTTGTCTTCCACACCAAGAGTATATTAATAATAAAGCCTCTGGAAACCCCACCCTCAAAAGAATAGTGGCACGTACAAGCACCTAAAAGAATGCAAAGCAAACATTGTGGCAAATGAATACATGATGTGAGGGGCAAGGAAGGCCCCCAAGGAGGTCAAGACCAGGCACCAAACACGATAGACAAGTAGAAACAATAAACATCAGAATTAACAACAGAGCTGGGACTCTCAATGCCACCAGTAGGGAGAGGAACAGAAGTAGGAGGGATAGCACCTTGACCCAGCTGACTCATCTGTGAGGACAACTGCTGGTGCACCTCTTCTCTGATTAGGCTCAAAAACTCTGCAATATCGGATCCAGCAACAGAGGAGTCTTGTGAACCTGCAGCTCCCAGAGAACCAGGAGAAGAACCATTGGGGCCCGGAGTTGAGCCTGCAGATGGAGAAGGCCGACTCGGCGCCCAAGCTGAATGACCTGAGTGACCTGAGCCCCGAGACAGGCCACCCCCTCTAGCACGACAAGTCTTTGGCATCACTCACTAGTCAGAACACACCAGTAATCACAAAATGAGAGAGTCTTAATCTAAACACAGGTAGCCACAACCGCTCACACTGACAATACTTACAAAGACACTGAACAAGAACCGTGTGCATGCACAGGGAGGAGCCCTGCCTTTCTATTTAACTGTCTTTAAACACAAGCCTTTAAAGTCCAGTAATAGGCTCTTGTCCACACTTATATATGACAGTACTAAGTTCACTTATGACTAGAATCTGTCACTTGGCTACCACTTTTGTCATGTACAGAATCAACAAAAATACCCAGGCTTTGTGCAACAAACCCTGTGAACTCATTATGCAACTGATGACCACTTCTCCTTCAATAACCTCAATCATTGCACCCTCAAGCAAATTGTAGCAGAAAGCAACTGGATATGGTGTTCAAGTCATTATGGTTATTACACTGACTATATGGGTGGATCTATGGCATCTATATTTTATACTATAGATCTGAAATAGTCTGTATTATCTTCCTTATAAAGTCCACACACAGAACCCAAAGGACTTTAACCCAAAGGACTTGATCCAGTGAAAGTAGACTGAAGTCAAGTTGTCAGCCGGTTTAGCTAAGAGTGAACTGTTGTGTTAGAGTTATTATTTCATCAAATTAAATTAATTATGCAGTTTATATAATGTCAATTTTAAATTAGAAAGCAAGTTGAAAAAATTTTGTTATCCTCATGTACGTAAAGGTAGCAGCAATGATCATCCTTGCTAAACTATATAGCCAGTATTGATTTATTCATGCATCATCAAGGATTTTTGGTATCAGAGGAAAAATTGAATTGATTATGCTATTATCAATTATGCAACAGATTTGGTTGCAAATGAGCCCTTCTCATTGCTGCATTTGGGCACAACTGCCTATTGTAGTAGAAAGATAAACTCTCTCGTGAGCCCCCCTTGTCTAGACCCAGAAGTAATGGAAGTAATGGCATAAAAATTCATCATAAAAGACAATTCTTTTGCAATACAAGTTATGTATGATTTATATAATTTTTATAATTTTATTTGACACTATTAAAAAAGGCAAGCCAATTCTCATTTGTGAGTGGTTCAGTTGACCTTATCTACATGTATATACAATCAATGTAGCATTTTATGTATGACAATACTAAGTTCACTTATGACTGGAGTCACTGGAATCTGTTGCTTGTTTCGTCATTTAAAGAAACAAAAAAAATACCCAGAAATACCCAGGCTTTGTGCAACAAACCCTGGGAACTCATTATGCCACTGATGGACACTTCTCCTTCAATAAACCTCAATCATTGCACCCTCAAGCAAATTATAGCAGAAAGCAACTGGATATGGTGTTCAAGTCATTATGGTTATTACACTGACTATATGGGTGGATCTATGGCATTTAGATTTATATTATGTAGATCTGAAATAATCTGTATTATCTACCTTTAATTAATTCAATAGCCAGTGTATGAAAGACTCCACTGAAATTGAGTTATGCATATGCATATGTACATTTGTTTGTGTACATGAATAGTAGGCACATGATGAGAAATAAATATAATTAATTAAATTGCCTATACAAAACCCATTTGATCGGAACTATTATGTATGTGAACAATCTTTCACTTTTTAAAAATATTGAGAACATGTAATTGCCTCCAGCTTTGCCGGTGTGGATTATATTTATCTCCTTGTTGTACCTCTACCAGAAAGTCCAGTGAGTGGCTATAGCTTCTTGTCGTACTGGTAGTTTTGAAAGATACGAGGGTCCTTGTTTGTACATGGGGTCATCTCAAAGATGTACCTGCTATAACTTTAATAAGAATGTGGTAGGAACAGTCTTTTATTGGCAAGAGCTCTTCAATCTACATTTGATGATATGCTGTATGACTAGATTACTAGATATTAAGATACTGGCCCATTGAGTTTTATGGCAAATTGAAAGCAATAGATCATTAAACAAAGCTGAAAGGTTTCATATATTGAGTGTCGTCCTGTAGCATCAGTTACATAAGGTGTCTAATGGCTGGAGGTCTCTCCTGCTGGTGTCTTTACAAGTATGACTGTATTAGATAAATGTGTTTAGCAATGATAAGTAAAGTAATGATGGTGAAAGTACATGTATATGATGATAGTGAAAGTATTAATAGTATTCAACTGTTATTATTATTATTTTATTTTTGTTCTTATTATTTTCTTGCTTCTTTGGTAGCTTAGCAGTTATGACAAGCTTCTTGTACTCCAGCACTTGAGAAGGTGGCATATAAGAAGCATGGCCATTGGTACAGCACTGTTGTCCATCCTATAAAATAATACATACAATATTTATCACAGGCTCAAATCTACTAGAATTAATATCAAATATTACTAAAAATTATTATTAGCATTAAATGAAAATTTAATGGCACATTTTGTACAGCTATTTAAACAAATATTTATAAAAAAAATCTGAGGCCACAAAATAAACCATTCCCCTAAACCTCCTTCGTAAACTGTGGGGCTTTGTCATTATTGAGATGTGGCGGTGCTATGAAAACAGTGTGTGCCCTTGAAAGAGCTCTTGCCAATAAAAAATTGCGTACCACATTCTTATTAAAGTTATAGCAGGTACCCACAGGTCAAAGTGAACATTGCCATACTTGTAAATCACATAACACATGACTGCAGTAAAGGATTCATTGAGAGGATTAAGAAATACTGTCAATAGAGACATACTGCACTATATTGGCTGTGACATATCATAGACTGTTAATAATACACATAGGACACATTTTCCATTACATGTACACATTCAAACGAAGCCACCATTGTCACCAGTACTAGTGACAATGGTGTCTTTGTTTGAATGTGTACATGTATGACTGTTTTTACTAAGAGGCCAGTATCTTCATAGTAAATACCGGCATATGCTCTTGTGCATGTTTCTAATTATTTGTACACCAATAATTGATATCATTAGAAATTGTAAACTTAAAAAAATTAATGGGCTTACATAATTTTGTACACAAATATTGTAAAATACCTCTGATCTCTCTCTCAGGTATGGGCTCCCGTTCCTATGGTGATCGATGATGACATGGTGATGGGCTCAGTCCTGTTATGTAGTTGTTCTATTGTCTATCATTCATTGGTCTACTAATAATGAGATACACTAAAAGAAATATTAAGAGACCATTTAAGGTAAATACACACAATCATTATGATACTAACATACACACATGTACATGCACATGTGTGCATATGTATACATGTTAGCTAACTACATGCATGCATGTATGTGTATTGTACATACCTGTAGCAGGTATAATTTGGTGAATTTGGCAATTTAAAAGCTTTTTACTGAAAGGAACCTGCCATTTTGAAGCATTATGTATGTATGAATGAAATGAATTAAATTTAGAAATTTCTGACTCTGAAATTACATGAACATTTTACTATCACTTTTGTATTACATATGTATGTACATGTACATAATACATTTTTATTAGAAGACATAATTATGTACATATTTTAAAGTATCTCTGCTCTATCTCACTCAGGTATGGACTCCCGTTCCCATGGTGATGATATGCTCCACCCTCTTCCTAATAACGGTTCCATTAGTGTTTATGTCAGTAGAGAGGTGGTATATATTATTAGGACTGATACTAGTATTGACTGGTACTCCTCTCTATCTATTATTAATATACTATAAATATAGACCAGCTGTATTTACAAGGATAAGCAGTAAGTAGCTATATTTACTACATATTAATTAAGTACCATTATCATTTTTTTGCTTTATAATACAAAAAATACAAAATAGTTGCACTAAATTTGAGCCACCCAAACAATTTTATTAGAAATTTAAGCACATAAATTAAAAGAAAAAAATTCAAAGCATCAATATTACCTTTATACAGTGTCAAGCAGTGTTATTAAGAGTTAGATAGTGAAATGAATTATAATACTCAGTTCCTTTTACATTTTTATTGTTGTGTGTGTGTGTGATATGTAGGCATGATAATTGGTGTTTCCAATACAATATTTTATACTTCATCATTCAAGAATACCGAGGACATGACTATTGAATATTCATATCAATAATTATTATTAATATTATTTTAATATCATTAACTGCAACTAAGTTTATTTAAACATTCACTATTGGTAGTGGTTTGTGTGGTTGTTCTTTTTTGTGTCTATCAATCAATGTCTTCTTTTGATCTTTAAGAGTATCCTCCAGGAGAGGATGATAATAGTGCCCAGTAATAATCTCAACATATTCAAGTGTTGGATGGATGAAGATTGTTTCATATAAATGTTGTACTAGTTCTATCCAGTTAGGTTGAGATGACTCTTCATTAATATATATACACCCTATTCCCAGTAGTCTGATGGTTGTATGTGACTGTAACATGTTAGTAACAGCAGGTAGTACCTGTTCATAAAACAATAGTGTCATTATTTGTTCCTTCTCTTCATCGCTACAGCTACCGTATGACTGATCTGGTTTGAAGTTCACTTTAAGTTCTGTGAGATATTCTTTTGACAGATAACATCGATAAAAGTTGTCATCTCTTCATTCAGTGGAATGGATACTCTCAACTGCTGTATACTGTCAGTGTTGTGTCTGAGACCAGTTGTTAGGAAGGACAGGAATGAACTGGGCATGAGAATGTCACTATACTCATACATGTAATTAATAATCTCAATGTATTTCAGTGTTTGGTTTTGTGTTAGCATGTCTTGTAGACTAGTACCAATACTGCTGGTATATACTCTCTCCCTTTATCTCCATACTCAGAGCTTTAAGTGTAGTATTGGTTTGTAGAATAGTAAATAGTTCAATAGCACTCTCAGCTGTGTCTAGTGGTAAAGTAAGTGTATGTAGACTGGGATGAGAGAGAAACAGAAGAAGTGGTGGGTATGGTTCAGGTAGTATCAGACAGTGTAATCCTTTGATATGTGGAAGGAGTGATGATGTCATCAGTTCACTACTACTCCATCCTCCAATCTCTAGAGCAGTCAGTGGTGTGTTCACCTCTACTATATTCAGTGATGATGGTAGGAGTTCATCGGGTATCTTCAGTGAAAGAGCTTGTAATGTGTTGTTGTCCTTTAGTAACTGGTCTATTACTCCATCAGGTAAAGGAGGAGGAGAAGTATCAACATCTAGTGTTAATGATGTTATTGTTTTATTTCTTGTTACTCCTCTAATGACACTGATAATGGTACTTGTTACTTCATCCTCTCCATAATATGCAATCTTCATTTCTTTTAGTGTTGAATTAATTTTTATACATTCCTCAAGTTCAGTGCACTTGTCTGTGTAGTATGTATTGTCCAGTGTTGGTATAGCAGTAGGGTTCATTCTTAAGTGCAGTATCTTCAATTGAGGAAGATTTAGGAAATGTAATAATACAAGACAGGAAACATATTGACCAAATGAGAATTCACAGTAGCACTCCTGAATAATGTATAGAAATGATGGTTGTAATAATTTGTGTATTAATTCAACAGAGGGCTCACTCAACATTACCTCCAGTCTCTTACACTGGGTCTGTAGTGAGTTATTGGTTAGTCCAGCAGTGAAGACCGATAGTGACTGGTTAGATACGTACCCCAGGTGCAAGTGATTCCATGTTGTGTTGGAATTGTTTATACAATAACTGAGACACAACCAGTCAAACAATGATAATGATACTTTATCAAGACACAGTGAGCGGTTGTTGATGGATTGTGCTAATACTTGACATAATGTTGTGTTCTGTGATTCATACAGGAGTTGAAGAAGAAGAATGGGAACATTGTCAAAATCATCAGAACTGACGTGATCAAATTGTCTAATCTCAGGATTCTGGTAGAAGTAGGAGAGATGACAAGTCTCTGATCCAAACAATGGTTTCCTCTTATACTGTAAGTCAAGTTGTTGTATATTAAAATACTGTTGATAGCTCTCGTGTTCAAGGTGAGTTAGACCTGCAACAAATCTCAGACACATTCGAAAGTGATCATCATCAAAGTGATCCTTAAATACTTCCTCTGTCTTCTTCTCATGCTTAGCTATCCACCATGCAGCTAGAAATTCTTGTATACTCAAGTGAAGGAACTGATACTCCTTTTTAGAATATTCAGTGAATGTTGTCATCAATCCAAGATAGTCTTCCTTGACTGCCTCACTCAGTGACTGTAGTTGATGTGAAGAGAATGTCACTGTTGTTTTAGCCAGGTTAGTATAAGCTATTTGACACATCTCTTGTAAAGGTTTAGCTAATTGTGATGGTAATAAAGAAAGACTACCTAAATTATATAGGTCAATATCACGTCTTGGTTTTATTTCCACATGTCTCCTG